CTATAGGGTATGTGTGCTCACCAGAGAGAGACAGAGAGGGAACCAGCAGGTAGCGTAACGGCTATGTCGCTGGACTCCCACATAGTCGACCACGGTTCGTGTCCTAGACCCGGTGGCTTAGAACTCACGCCGGGCGCGTGTGCGTGCGTGCCCAAGATCCCGAGAGGAGAAGGAGAATGGAGGAGAAGGGATTGTGGTGTGGCCATCCCCCCTGGGGGGTGATTTCTCGCTTTCTGTCTCTGTCTCTCTCTGTCTGGCGAGCACACACGCCCTATAGCGAAAATCTCTCCAAAAAAAAAAAGAGAGAGACAGAGAGAAAACACCCCTCACGGGATTGCAGCCAAGCCACCATCCTTTCTCCTCCTTTCTCCTCCGTTCTCATCTTGGAATTTTGAGCACATGCACCTGGCATGTTTTCCAAGCTGCCTGATCCGGGACTGAAACCTCCCATTCGGCCCCGTGAGATCCAGCACCCTTAACCACCACACCACTGGCTGGCCCAGAGTGTCGTATTTTACCACTGTGCCACCGTCTGGCCTCGGGGGTGCAGATGTCGACCCATGACACTGAAGAGGCACAGCATTCAGGACACGGTGGCATCCACAAAGACGCAGCTGGAAGGCCATCTCCGTCGAGGACGGAGTGGGAGGCCCCGAGTGCCTCCCTGCCCGCAGCCACGTCAACTCTGCATGAGCAGCGGCCGGTGACAGTGCGTGCTGCTGGCACGGGCTCCTAGCACTCCTTAGGGAACGGATGAAAAAAGGATGGTCGGACCAGCAGTTAGCGTAATGGCTATGTCGCTGAACTCCCATGTAGTCGACTGCGATTCAAGTCCCGGACCCGGTGGTTTAAACTCACACTGTGCAGGCATTCCCAAGATCCCGAGAGGAGAATGGAGGAGAAGGGATTGCAGCGTGGCCATCCCCCATGGGGGGGTGATTTCTCGCTTTCTGTCTCTCTGTCTCTGTCTTTCTGGCAAGTGCACGCGCCCTATAGTGAAAACCTCTCCAAAAAAAAAAAAAAAAGGATGGTGAGAGGCAATGTGAGCGAGCCTTATGAACAGACCCGGGGCAGAGGCCCTACTGTGTGCCCCCTTTACAGAGAGTGCTAGACCAACTCATCTATGGGTACAGAGGAGGAAAAAGGTGTGCCGGCTAGCAGATGATGTGGTGCTTAAAGCCCCCCCATGGGGGAATCGCGGTTCAAATCCCAGGCCTGGTGGTTTGCTTTCTCATTCTCCCTTTTGCTCTCTTTGGTCAAATGGAATAATAAAAAATAAATCAATAAAATAAAATAATTCTTTTAAAACATAGATGAGCCTTTGGGGTCTCAGACCTGACACAGAGCACACCCCCCATCTGGTGCTGCCAGGGTGGGGACCTTCAGCAGTGAACCATGGAGGGGCGAAGGAGGAACTGAATTCTCTTCGTCTGTTCTGGCCTCGCGACAGGAAGGGGACGCCAGCAGGAGGCCAGCGAGCTGCACACCCAGGGCCCTCGTTTTCTGTGTGTCCCACCCTGACTTGCAAACGCTAGGCACAGTCATTCCCATAAGGGGGGGAGAGTCACCTGGATGTGTACTTGGAACGGACGCTGCGCAGGGGGTGGGGGAGGAGGGCGGGCAGTGGGGACACGGCATGTGGCTGCACCCACGCGGGAAGAGGCTGGGCTTCTGGCTCAGGACACCAGGCGTACAGGGGCCCAGATCTTGGCAGATGGGAAATGGGAGCAGATCACAACACTAAAAATCCTGCTGGAGGTGTCTCTGTCTCTCACATGGAAAAAGATCAACTTTTAAAAATACCATAGGGGCCAGCAGATGGCATAGTGGTTACGTCAGTAGACGCCCACATGGCTGACAACGGTTCGAGTCCCTGACGTGGTGGCTTGAAAATCACACCCAGGGACCAGCAGTTAGCGTAATAGCTATGTGGCTGGACTCCCACGTAGTCGACGGCGATTTGATTCCCAGACCCGGTGGCTTAAACTCACACCGGGCACGTGTGCGTGTGTGCCCAAGATCCCGAGAGGAGAATGCAGGAGAAGGGATTGTGGTGTGGCCATCCCCCAGGAGGTAATTTCTCGCTTCCTTCCAGCCTCTCTGTCTGTCTTTCTGGTGAGTGCACGCGCCCTACAGCAAAAACCTCTCCAAAAAAAAATTGAAAGGGAAAAAAAAAGAAAACCATGCCCAGTGTGTTTGCATACCTGCCCAAAACCCCAGGGGGAAGATGGAGGAGAAGGGATTGTGGCGTGGCCATCCCCCCTCCTGGGGAATGATTTCTCACTTTCCCTCTCACTATCTCTTTCTCTCGCCCGTGAGCGAACGCGCCCTATGGCAAAAAACTCTAAAAAAAAAAAAAAAAAATTCAGAAGCGAGGACCTTTCTAATGGCGATCCCCCTACCCCCAGTACCTCTGAGGATGCTCTGGGTGTTGAGAGTTCGAAACAACTGCTTCTGCCTGAGACTCCCTACTGCCCCCTGCAGGGCAAACCCAGCCTGCCACCCCTCAGGCAACAAGCATTCCTGACCCACGCAGGACACGGAGGGGCGTGGTACAAACAGGTCATTGTGGCCCCATGGAGGAGCCCATTGTCACATGCAGCTGACCCAAAGGGAGAGTCACAGCTGGGGCGGGGTATGGAGTGGGACTTGGAAGTGGGCATCCACACTGTCCCTGAAGCCACAGAGCCTGTCGGCCACTTGGGCAGCTGCTGCAGAAGTCTCCATGCCCTGGTGCTAGGCTCCCCTGGACGCCGTGGGCAATCCTCCCCTCCTGCACCAGCCTCTTCAGAACAGCTCCCGCCGTCCAGTCCACTAAGCCCCGGTCACTTCGCACCGCCAGGGCCAACGCACACAGGAAGAACACGCCCAGCCCAGGACGACATTTGGAAATGCCTGGGTGTGTCCTCGGAGAGGTGGCATCCAGGCAGCCACTGCCACGTGGGAGTGATGAGGCCGGCGGCCCAGAACACCCGGGGACAGGCACGGAAGGTGGGGGACAGAACCCCAGCCACGTGCATTTCCCGTGCGTCTTGTGTCCAGGGCAGCAGCCTTGACGTTGACCGGCTGTCTGCTCTTCCTGCTGGGATTCAGGAAGGGAGGGATCAAAGGGTCCCTCTGGCCTCATCCCTGGTGTTGAATTAATGGGGAGAGATCCCTCAGCCACCTGGCCTGGGAAAATGCTTCGCAGACAGGTTTCTAGATGACTCATGGCCACTGTCATTGTGCCCCCTGTCCAGGTCACTCCGTAGGGACACTCACAGAGAAGAAAGTCAATAAACAGGGGAAAAGGCAGGCCTGGGCGAGGGCCAGGCCAGGGAGCTGCTGGGAAAGTTGGGGGGGGGGTGTGCCTGTTTTTGTCTTTCCATGATCAGGCTGGGGGTCAAGGGTTTGTCCCTCTTCCAGTCCCCGAAGGACAGTGTCCTGTAATGACCATCTTCCCAGGGTCCATGGAAAAGTATGAATAGCAATGAAAACTGGCCAGCGTGCCCACCCGAGCCCTAGACCCCTAGACGAGGGGGACTGCAGGTGCATGGCAGGGCCACCCTGCACCTGGAGAGGGACAGGCAGCCCTGGGGAAGCTGGGGTGCGGGCGAGGGTAGAAGGGTGGGGACCAGCGCCCCAGCCAGCAGGATGAAGAGCAGGGTCGGCAGAGCGGGACTGAAGGAGATAGGGAGGGGCCCAGAAAGAGCCAGGGGAGCTGGACGGATGGCACCGCAGGAAACTGATCAACCAGCGCAGACTAGGGCTGGAGGGACCCCCGAAGTCCCCCCAGTTGTCCTGGCCTCCTTCTCCCGCTGATCTCCCGCGATCAATGAACGGACACACAGGCCGCTTCCAAAAGAGGCGAAACCGTTTATCAAGTCGGCGCCGGCGCGGTATCTACAGTATCTACACATATCTACACGTATCTACACCGCCTGCAGGCGGGGCTCTCGGTCGTCTACACTGCAA